GCCTCCTAAAATGCAAAATATTATTGTTTTTTTTTCATTGAAGCCTATATTAGTTTATTGTGATGTGAATTATTTGAAACTCCAAACTATAAACATAGAACAATAATGAAGCGAAACTCGATCAGCTGATTCGGTTTACGACTTTACGTTTACCTATGATCTTATTTTTTTTCCTGTTGAATAATTGAATAGGTAGTATACATACGTAATATATACATTAATACAAATATTTTCACTACAGAAATATAGCATTTATATATACCTAAATTATTTTCTCCAGAAGCTAGGTTTGTTGTGGAGTTAAAGGTTCTTATAATATCTATTTAGTTCTCATACAATAAATAATTAAAACGATCATTAGGTGATTATTAACTTATCATACAATATAGGTAGGTTAGTACCTTGGTTAGTACCAGAATATGGAACATGCATTATAATACATGAACTATTAAGTATTAACTATATAATAATAATTAATATGTACAGTTTGAATGAGTTTGATCTCATGGTCAAATTTAAAATATCAGAGAAAAAGTATTGAACCCAAAGGTAAAACTTAAAACAAATTTATTAAAATAAGTATTTGTGTTTAAATACTTTCTAAGTATTTGTATTTGTTCTTAAATACTTATTGAAAAAAGTACTTTAAATACTATTTAAATACTTTTTAAGTTGATGTATTTGTATCTCTATTTAAATACAAATTAAAAGTATCTTTTTACAAGATTGCGCATATGTATACAGCCATACAGGTATACTATAATGTTGCATTGCAATATTTTAACGATGATTTATTTATCGATCTGCATTACAGCATTGCAGTTTTTTTATTTACTGCATACTGTTGTATTCGTTTTATACTTTTTATAGGCGAAGTCTTTTAGATTCCCATCATAGCGATTAATGCGTATAGAGATTTTACAAATAATATGTATGTGTATATGTGTACACGTGTACCTGCAGCCGGCGTTTTATGGTAGAAAAAAATGCTTTGGTCTTCAACATTGGGGATGATTTTTGATTGAAAATTGGATGTAGTTGGACCTATCTTTGAAAGGTTACATTAAAAGTTATTTTCTTAATAGTTGGGAAAAACATTTCAATTCATTTCATATTATAGACATTTTAAATTTTCTATTTATTTTTCCTTTGAATTAAGATAAATACATTTTCACTTGGTCAAAAATTAAAAAAAAATCAATACAACGTTTCACATACCTATTGTTTTTTTTATTATTACATACCTACTTCTACCTTTAAAAACAACTTTTTTTCTCTATTTTTTTAAACCCCTTTACACTGCAATTGTTTAAAAATAATTTAATAACAAGACGTGATATATATTATATATATTAAGGTAATTATTTATTTAATTATAAATCATTTTATGTAATTCACTATGTCACCTTGATGCGTTCATCTCCTGTTTATTTATGTGACTTATTAAGAATATCATACACTTCCATTATATTATAGGCAAATAATATATTTTAACTTCATTATTTTCTGTTCTATATAGATGTATACATACGTATGATGTAATTAATGAAAAATGCATTCATTAACTTTACTTATTAAAATATTATCTACTTTAGCAATGTCGTAACTCGTAGGCCGTAGCGATTTAAATGTACGTCTGTTCGTCTGTTCGTCTGTAGACTGTAGGTAGTTGTTGTCTAATGATATCTTATTTTTTCAATATTTAGCTTGTATTGTTTGTAAGTAGGTAGGTAGGTGATTTATTATTTTTGTAATTTTCTTCATTATCTACAGACTTTGAATTTGCACTTAAAATAATATTTTTAATTTTTTGCACAAATTAACTTTTAAAATTAAAATTATTCTAAACTGCACTCATTTTTAGATTCTGAGTGGAGCAAGGAAACTAGTGGTTTTACAATGGTGTTTATTTTTTTTTATATCCTGCAGTGTACAAAATATCTACCAGAAGGAGTGCTTCGATTTCAACATATAGTACCTTATATTTTAGGAAATTGGGCCAAGATGGTACTTTAGAAACGTCATTTTTTGATTTTCTCAATAGTTATTTAATGCCACAGGAAAAACCACCGACAAACTACGAAAAACCGCTAAAAATGGGTTTTTAATTTCTAGCGCTTTGTATCACCATAGAAACGAATAAAAATTAATAATAGATAGCGACATCCACTTATTATTGTTTAATCTTACTAATAAACGTTGAAATTCTGCAGCGTATAGCCCGGATTATTCTGTTAAAGTTATATTTCTGAACAACGCAGTGTCTACAATATTGTAAAATTGTTTAGATAATTTTTAAGTGTTGTCATTAATTGTAGGTACAGTGATTATGTTGTGCACATCGACATATAAAATGTAACATATTATATTATAACTTTAAGTTATTAACTTATAAGATTTGTAAAGTAAATGGCAAAATATTAAAATCTATGACTGAAGCGAGAGTCCTTCAAAATCTAAGTCACTAAATAAAATGTTATACGCATGGTGGGTAAATCCCCGCTCGGTGACACGTACTTACCTATATAAACATGGTGCTCAAATTTGGGACGTTGATGATTTCTTTACATTTTTAACGTAGATCATAACGATTTAAGTGCGATTCTCACATGAAACAACGCCGTTCTAGCGCAAAAATCAAAATATGTTTTTAGCCTAAGACAATAATATTATAATGTAGTCCGAGGCCTAAGAAGCCCAAAGTTTACCAATTTGACGATAGGTATAGGTTTACTGCATACAAACTATATTAAATTCTATAATATATTTATTAAATATAATTCCTAAAATTTTATCCAAGCAAATAAAGAATAAAATAGGCTTATTTGTTATTAGGCTCGACTAAAAACTTTTTTTTTTTTTTAGTAGCAACTAATAAATTAGTTATAAATTATAATTAAACACAAATATTTCTTTTAGGTATTTCGTTTTGATTATTATGTCGTTGTTTTAAAGAATATCTAACTAAATATTTATTTAATGATTAAGTCGGTTTCATTCAAAACTTTGAAACACGAGGCATAATAATATATTAATTATTTTTATTTTTTTTTATTATTATTTTATTTTACTTCATATACTATAGATATAATAATTATATAGGTAAAAGTGTATAACAGAATTATTCTTATTTGTAAAAAGAAACATATTTTTATTTTATAGATTGGTGTTCCTCGTGTAGCCTCCCTTCAAGCTGGAAGAAAACTATAATATTATACAGTTTGATAAATTGTTATTAGTAGGACGACTTTGAATGTATTATAACTGCAACACTACAGTCTCCAACATGAAATTAAATTAATAATTATTATTAATTAGTATTCAAATATTATTTACTTAATAGAAAGGCAAGTTGAATAAAATATGGATGTTATAAGTAGTATTGGTAATATTATCACTAGGTGTTACAGTATATCATTTATTCTGTACTACAAAACGAGGGTTACAATTCTGGGGGGGCTAAAGCCCACTTAACAAAATTATTAATGAATAAATAACCCATAGATGGCTTATATCTAAATTAATAGGGGATATTTTTTTGGGGGGAGGGGCTAAGCCCCCCTACTAACTACAACCCAAGTACCCAACTAGTGACTACTGCAGTAGTACAATTGATAGGGTGGGGTGACTTGGGTTTAAAACAGCAATAAACCTACAACTTTAAGTTACTTAAACTGTAAATTGAATATAGTATTGGTTGAGTACTGACATGGTTATGTAATACATATTATTATATTATATTTATCCATGAGCAGTGTCTTATGTGACCTACCTTAATGATGCATGCAGCATTATGTCTATGCCAATGCTTAAAGTGGAACCACAGAGGTTTCAATGAAAATTATAGTTATTGAATTATTCAACATTTTAAAATGTAGCATTTAAAGATTTAAATTAATGTTTTCATATTATGATTTTAGTGTTCAGTTGGAATTTTGGCAAATTACCATTCATCTTCAACAATAAGTCTTAATATAATGGCAAAACTCAGCATTTGTATAGTTGAACCACAGATTAAACCCAATCTATTTTGTACTTACATAATGGATTTTTCAGAAATATTCAATAAATAAAAGGAATCGTTAATTTACTATCAAATTTCTCTAAAATGTACTCCTATGGGCATCTAAATGAGAAAATGTAAATACTAAATTGTATTTCATCAACAAGTCATGTAGGTAATTAACTAATAAATATGGTACCCATAAAATGTGTTTTTTTGAACAGCATTATATAGGTCTAAACTTACTATCAATTAATAGAATAAAATGTGGTATCTGACTTGTGTGGTTGACAATTCCAATAATATGCTTAACATCATAACCTTCACTTTTATTTTATAAAAAAAAAAAATTAGGATGAAAGTTAATCCACTAAGACAAAACTAAGCTATTATACTAACATTAAGTTTAATCAGTTATTTTTATCAGAAATAGATGTGGTAATAGTTTAGAGATTTTAGTAAAATAAAAACATTAAATTATATAGGAACCTTTTTTTTATAATCTTTTACGATATTATATTTTAAGCTAATCTTTGTTTGATTTCAATCAGAAAATAAAGCTTCTCATTATCTCTACTAATATAAAACTTTAAAAAAAATAGTATACAAATGTAAGAAAACTGGTAAAAATGGTTTACACAAATAAATTGTAGACAAACTTAAATATTTTAAAAACCTTAATATAATACAGTAGTAACAGGGAAGCGTAGAAAAACGTCTCATTACAATATTATTATCTATGTCATATTATATTGTCAGGTTCTTGTAAATCTAGAATTTAATAGGATAGGATGAATGTAAATTACAAACATTAAAGATATACTATTATTACCCTGCACATCTTTAATGTTAAACTGAAGATAACATCTTGTATAAGACTTTATTCTTAATGCTAAAAATGTTACTTATATTTTTGACACAAATCTGAACATTTTTTTAAAGGAATGATAAGGGTATAAATTTAAATTTTAAAGTTTTGAGTATGGTTCTACTGCACTTAATATAGACTGTCAGTGTTAGATGACCGAGGCTTTTTTATTTTGTCAAAGTTCTTGATGACTATATCATGCAATGTTGAGTAGCGATTACGAATTTCATGCATGGTAAGGGACATGGATAAGTATTGCCTTTCGTCCAATTCTTCAACAGCACACCGGTAGTCTTCAATATACGGGTACTTGCAAACCTAAAAAAGTGATTAAATTATAAAATTACTAAAATCTTACTAATTTTTCTTTAACCTAAAACTAAAAATGTAATTAACTTGTTATAAATTGTTACCTATCAACTGATTTATATATTCAATTGAAAATGTAATTTTATATACTTTATTCAGTTTAAGTTGACCCAATCCTCAGACGAAAAATGGTCGCACATGTCTCGCAGAGTTAGTGTCCGATGTCACGTTACCGGCAGCTGTTGACTCCGATAGTAAACGATGATTGGCGATGGCAGCAATCAATCATGGAACACCATTCACCGACCAGGGGGGTCAGACTGTTTCGGCGGCTCAGTATGCATATGCGAAAGTGGGTCAACTTAAACTGAATAGAGTATTGTGTTTTGTTTGTTATATATTGATTTATTTTTAGCTGTTTCTTTCAGTGGTATTGTTGGAAATTTAACTAAATTTAACTTCAAAATTGTCTAGATAATTTAATATAGAACTGTTTACTATCTCAATATATTTATCTTGTTATTTTACAAAAATTCCTTATTGTTATTAATCTTTAAGATAATGTAGACTAGTATATAAATATTATTGAAGGAATTGTTGTATCTATCTGATTGGCATCTAAGCACAAAATCTTATCAGTTAACTGTTAACATCTGAAATTACTAATATATAACTTTTATCTTTGCAACACACGTAGCAGAAAGAATAATGTATCAAAATGATTAACAATACTATTACTTATTAGTATTTTTAGACCCAATATAGATACATAATTTTGTAGGTTATTTTGTACGGTAATTCCGTATAAAATATAAATAAAGTATAATTTTAGCATACATATCCTGTAGGCTGTAAATTAACCCATCAACTGGAATATAATTTTTATTAGGGATCTTGAGTATACAAGGATAAACGTTGAACATGGTTTATTTTAATTCTTAAAATTATCAATTTTAATTTATAAAAATCCCAAAATCAAAAATATTTTTCTTTCTAAATGTTTTGCTCATATTAACAGAATAAAATTTTTATTACATTATTACATTTTTTGTAACATTGATTAAAACCAATTGGCCAATTGTGATATTTTAAAAACACAAGCTACACCACATTGTACATAATTTGAAATATTAAAACTAATACATACCTTGGAGATAAGTTTACCACGAGATGCATAATAGCGAGACATTTGTTCAAGATAATTGGTTGCTTCTACCTCAACCTGCTGTATTTCAGCAAGAGTATCTTCTTGCACGGATACTCCAAAATTGTTGCCATCTTCAATTTTAGGTATTAATAATGATACCCACATTTTTAACTGAAAATAAAGATTAATAAAAGTAATTGTGATAATTAATTATGTAAATATTAAAAATATTTCACAAACAGCATTGGTGTCTTCAGCTAATTGTTTGATATTGGGTTTAAGAATTTTAATGACTTCAACAATTTTTTTATTGGCTGGTATGAGCATTTGTCCTGGAATTGTATCATGTGAATTTGAATCTAAACGTGGCCTTTTCCCCTGAGTTTTTCCTTCGCAACTAAAATAAAAATTTTTTAAATTTATAGGTAGCTGTTATTTGTTCATAAGAGTAAAAGGTTAAAACATAGCACATTAATTAGTAGTGATTGCTTTTTACGGTACTCATATTTTTTTAACTTACTTGTTTACATTATTTTCTACTTTAATAATTGTGGGAATTTCTAATTTACATTTTATGTCAGTTGCAGCAATACGAAACTCGGGCATTTTGAGTAACTCATTTAAATGTATTATTCGCTCAGGAAATTTTTGAACTATACGATTCTCTGCCTATAATTTTAACATACAAAAAACAAGTATTAGTATTTAGTATCTTATCAACAAAAACTATTATTAAAACATTATTTTAGATTAATATAATTATTGTTGTTATAAGTTCCATTTAAATTGTAGTTTAAAATACCTATTTATTTATTATTATTATTATTTGTTATTTAAGCATTGTATTACACTCAATTTAGTCTCAACGATTAAAATATAAAATAAAATATTGGTTGAATAAGCAGGTATTACAAATAGTTAAAAAAATAGTTAAAACTTACAACTTAAAAATAATAAATATAGGAACATTTTGTTTACAGTGACTATTTTAAACTATAATTATTTGAAATTTACCTATGACATAACACACAAATTATGTTTGTCATAGGAATAATCAATAAGTAATAAGAGACTAAATGAGTAAAGCGTACTAAAATTGTTGCTTTTGGGAACACAAAAAAATTATTTAATTTTAAAATTAGTTTAGACAAAAATGGTAGAAACCTACAGGTAAATTTCATCTTACAAGTAAAAATAATTTCAATACATACGTCAACCTTCAGTGTTTCATGGAATTCTTTAGCCTGAAAAACATAAATAAATAAATTGTCAATATTATAGAATTTAATGTCGAATATAAAAAATATTTGATTTCTGAAATAAAGAAGAATGTTTGCAACCAAAAATCATTCAGTTATTTAGAACTGATGTACAATCATTTGTAATGGACATTTTCATGAAATTAATTTGTGAAGAATTTTTATTACAAGTTTTAATTGATGATTATCCATGTTGGGGACGAGTTACATGAAGATCACATTAAATGTCTAAAACGATCTATACAAATTTTCAACATCTGTTCAATTCACCAATCATGTATTGATTATTTTCAACTGGTTATACAGACGATATGTATATTTTATTTACCTTCTTTGCAGCTTCAGTCTGAGCCATGGTTTTCAGCGAGTGAACAATATGGTGATTGATAGTTGAATGAATTCGGATGGAAACGATTCGAATATTACGGTATTTTAAAACGTAATTTCTAATCAAATAACGAAGGTAGCTCTTGTAAATAATAAAAGATTTTATAAAACAAAAGCAATTGCCATGAGAAACGAGTGATGAACGTATTGGCCGTATTCTGTATTGAATGATAGGTTTAAACATTTTCAAATTATTTTCAGGTTATGTTATCACGGTTACGGTATACAAACATTTCTTGTTTCCCCATACAGATAGCGTTACGTTGACATGTTTTGAAATAAAATAAAATATTTAATATTCATAATAACTAGACGTAACAACATAACAAATTATTCGTAATAAGTAATAACTAATAACAAGTCGATAACGATATTAATAACCGTTCAGCGTTTAGCTGGCCGTCTGGACTGCTCCTTGGCGAAGTAAAAAGTAAAGACTTAAAATTAAAATATTAGTTAATTATTTATTAATATTAATCATAATATAATAGTGTTTCATTGTACATTCATCTACCTATAAATGTATAATTATAATTCGACGTTGAAAAAATAAAAAAATAATTCCAGATCCCAAGTATAAATAGGTAGGTTAGGTCTAAAGTTTAAAACTTAAAATTTAATTTTTAAATGATATAAGACCGATTTAAAAAAAAAAAAAAAAAAAAAATATCCTATAATTCAAATTAATTCAAATTCGAACTCTCTGAAAGGTTCTGCCACTGGTCAAATATGGAGTTGTGAGATGTCAGATGTTATCAATGATAGATTTTGTCTAGCTGGTTTGAGGTCGGCTGGTTTAAAGTTAGGTACAAACACTTTTTCAATAGGTAAATATCGACTTACCTACCTGAATAGCTGATTCTGTAGTTTATAGTTTGTAAATAATAACGAGGCAGAGCTTGACGAATTTGTAACCTTTTTAATAAATTTAATTTAAAATATTATGTTTATATAATTTTATTCAAATTTAAAAGATTATTATATTTTTACTTGTTAGCCTAGACTCCTGGAGGTCTTAGCTCTTAAACTTTAGGTATAATGCAGTGGCGAGCCAGCTGAATTTTTCTTATTGGTGGGGGCTGATTATTCGGTGTATAAGGGAAACTTAATTAAGATCCCTTATAATTGGGAGGTGGGAATTCAAAATGTTCTATTGCCAAAATACTGATTTTTCAGAAGAAGCAATTTCCTGTATCCTGTATCTTTGAATTGTCGGGGAGGGTGCAATCCCCTCAGGACCTTCCGCAAGAACACAACTGGTCTACATTTTAATATTCATTTATTATAACTAGCCACTAGGTAGTAGGTATATTATGTTGAACGATGATATTTGTTTGAATACAATTTGATCTTATAGTACTGCAATTTAATAATATTATTTATTTGTTTTTTTATAGATGTTATAGATATAGTCTATACTTTATTACGTATAGGGTGTAGGTGCATGCGTGTGTAACGAAACCACTTGTTAGTTAGATAGTCTAATAGTTTGAATACTTATAAAGTTATATCAAGCGTTTTAAAAAATAAAAAGGTGGGTAAGTGGATGTCGCTCTGCTGTACAGTAGGTTACAAGTGGGTCACTGTATAATGGATGCTATTAAATTTGAATTCAATGATAAAATATCACTGTATAAGAAAAACGATTCTGAGCGAAGACGGTATGTCAGTCTAGGTTTAATACAAATTATATACATATCTATGGTATTAAAAAAAAAATTGACCTATAATAAATTCCAAATTAATCATATCACATTATCACAATATCCATTAGGTACTTATAACACGTTATACATCAACATTAATAACAAACCCTGATACTATCATAGATATATAATAGTCCACTTTAGAAGTTTAAAATAGGTACCCACGAATAATATTATATAATAACAACAAAATAACTAGGTTTTTTAATATGTAATTTCGTCCAAATTTGAACATAAAATGACTATAAAAATAAACTGTGATTGTATATTTTTTAGATTTTTCGGTAAGAGAATTAACTACTTACGTGGAATCTTGTTTTAAATTTTCAATCCTTAGCTATAAAAACTGAACATTTTATAATTTATTAATTACGATAATTAATAATTTTCGAGATTTTGAAAAATTCTGTCAAAATTCGATGTTTAAATGCTTATAAAAAAAAAATTGTGCCTATGTATTTTTAATATTTTTCAACTGATATTGTAACAATATATCAGGAGCCTTGTATTAAATTTTTACACTTTTTGGCCCAACAGATAAAACTTTATTGATATTCATAGAAAAAAAAACTAAAAAAATTGAAAAATGAAAATGTCCGTAAACAGCTCAAAAAGAGTCAAAATATTTTCAAAATCGTATGGTGTATAGGAAATGCTAATATAAACATTCAGTGAAATTTTCATGTATCTATAGTTATTCGTTTATGAATAACAACAAAATAAGGAAATCGCTACATGAGAAATCGAGTGAATATCCAATGTTGTAAAAATTTGAATTTCAAACGCTCATAAAAATTTAATTTAACTGTCCGGTAGAGATTTTTTTATTGATACAGGTAGAAAAACTTATGAGTAATCTTGTATTACATTTTAAAATCTTAGATTTAAAAAGAAAAATTTTTACGAATTCTTAACTCAAAATAATTTGCTAATTTTCGTGATTTTTCCATATTTTGTCAATATTTGAACTTTAAATGCTTATAAAAAAAAACTGTGACTAACGATTTTTAATATTTTTCATCTGCCTTTGAAACAATATACTAGGAGCCTTCTATTAAATTTTCAACTTTTCGCAACCAACAAATAAAATTTTATTGATATTTCTAGAAAAAAAACTAAAAAAAAATGAAAAATGAAAATGTCCCTAAACTGTTCAAAATAAATCAAAATATTTTGAAAATGTTATCGTGTATAGAAGATGCAAATATAAACAACCAGTGAAAATTTCATGTATCTACGGTTATTTGTTTTAAAGTTACACCAAAAACCAAATTCAATTTTCTGAAAAATCGATTTTGCGTAAAAATTCCCGTTTTTCCTTAATTTTTCTTTTGTTTTTCTTGGCGCTTTTGAAAAGTACTGGGAATTTTAAATTTTGACCTCCCCAATGCACCAACGATATTCACTTTCCAATCGAACAAGATACTGAAGTCGAAAATCGAAGCATTATTTCGACTACTTATCGTGTACACAGACACAAAAAAAAATAAAAAAATAAATATAAAAACACACATCATTGTAAAATCAATACATTCATCGTTTCACTCAGAATCTAAAATTATACATAGACTGATTAATTCTAAAATGGCACAAGCGTTACAAATTTTCAGTGTCTCACTCGTTTTTCCTCGACTTTATTAATTGAAATTTACAAATCTTATAATTAGGTAGGTAAGTAAGTACTAAATGTCTAAATATAGTATACGTTTTGGTAATAGGTGCCTATAATATAGGTAGTTTTATCTGCACATATACCTATTGTTCTTGACGTAAAACATCGACATTTTACAGGAATAAAACTCTTGTCGCGAATTTGAAAAACTATATATTATTATTGTATAATGTTTCTGCAATTCGATTACTAGTCAAAATCATAGTTTTAAATAAAGTAAATAGTATTTCTGTCTTTTAATATACCTATATAATAATATATTATAATATAAAACGTATAACTCATTGTAGCCAGCAGGTAGGTACTATACATTATGTCTATGCGTCATTGCCTCATCCTCTTTTATTGTGGTTTTAATTTATTTCCTGTGATGTACACAATTGTAAGATTTGATTGCTTTGAATATTTTACAGTATGTTGTTATACGATGGGCCTTATTATACCTATTATTTTCATATATCAATATATCATGATTCATGACCAATCAATAACGTTAAATATGTACCTAGTTATTCAATATTTCAGTGGTTAAAGTGGAAAAATTTTTTAAGGGGGACTATAATAGTCACAAAAAATTTAGGAGCGTTCCCGAGTTCTTACCAAATTCTATATCTAACCGGCTATAAAACATGAAAAACATGTAGGTAGTAGGTACCCAGTAATGGTTCATTGGGTCGGTCACCAAATTATTATAAGGATTAGTATGACTGTATGAGTCACTTATAATACCACAGAATGTTCAAATACAAGTGTTTAGTAGTTTAGTTGTTATCCCTATAGGCTATAGCCACCTATAAATTATAATGGATGGTAGCATTGATTTTATAGTACAACTTGTATTAAACAATCAATGGTAGTAGGTACAATTATAGGTATATTATATTGTGTATATATCCACATACCGGACTTGCGTGGTGCGTCTAAATGTTTTATAACTATTTCCTCGTATAAGTAGAATGAGGAATATTATAGCTAGGTATCGAAAGATTGAACTTAAAATTTCACAAAGAAATTCACTACCGACTCAAAAAACAAATATGATTGAGCAGGAAATTACTTGTATTCTAAGTTACCATATAATATTTATTAAATAAGGAAAATTTATGGCTGGTTTATAGACACAGTCACAAGTCAAACTCTATATGTCATTATCTGTTTTCGAAAAATTGTTTTATTTATTCTTTTTTAACCAAATTTGTTTGGAGAAAACGAAAACTTGCAAACAATTATTTCATTATATTTCAGCATACAAATATTTCATTATATTTCAGCATACAAATATTTCAGTATACCTACAACCTACCTATAATTAATTAGAACGGGTGAAGGGTGATGAAGGCCTAGCACAATACAATTTCGCCAACGCTATACTAAGTTGTATGGGAGTCACCTTTTAAATTTAACTTCAGTTTCGTAATGTGATATTTTTCAAGTATCCAGCTAATATATAATAATATGTATTATCTACTTACTATTCAGAAACAAAGATCCTATCGACATAAATCGACAAAAAAATTTAAAAATATAAAATGATATCATGTCTATATCTTTAGAAAATTCTAATTTAAATGTCTAGTAAACATGTCTAGT